AAATTACGATGCAAAAGATTATTTAGAAAAAATTATCTTTTCTTTGAGCAAAAATTATTTCTTTAGAGAAAAAAATGGAAAAAGTTCTTTTGAAAAATCGTTTAGGAAAAAATTTTAGATAAATAAATTTTTTGTTTGTGGAAAAAATAATTGGGAAAAAATTTGTTTTTACTTGAAATTAATGAAAAGGCTTAGGAAAAAGTTATTTTTTTTTACATACATTTGTTTAATATGACAATTTTATAATTCAAATCTCTCTCTTTATTTTTGTTAATTATAGGCTTGTGGCTCAGAAATGGTGAAATATAGACGAGTATATCTATAGATATATGTATATGAAATCCATTATAGGAATATACCTACAATACATATGTACATATGTACATATCGGTCATTTGTGAACAATTTGTTAAGATCAGCCAAGTGAAGGCACTTTTAGTGTGGCCACTCATTCGGTGCTGGAAATTTTTCAATTTACAATAACGCTCACATATATATCAGCATATGTTTGCACCTTTTTTTTTGGCATATATTTCTACATTCACACATTAGCACTCTCATTTATACATTACCTCCTATTTGAAATCATTTTGATAGCTGAGAATGGCTTATGCCATTTACGTCTATATATCAAGTGCTTAATTTGCAATTTTATTTTGCGCGAATCGAGAGGAACACAAATTTGACGGTAAATGTGAAATCTACTTTGAAAGCAAAGCATAAATACATATATGCCTTCTGAGCTTTATTAAATTCAACCAAATTAAGTGAAGAAATGATAGATATTTTTTGGGGAATGCACAGCGACCTGGCGATCTATTGCGCCTTCTTCCACCTAGCTTCCATAGCAAATCCAATAGCCTGTTTGGTAGCATCGAATGTACATATGTATGTGATGACAAGAGGTACTTCTCTCGTCCTCCCGTCAGTACATCACTGCATCACATTCGAAGAGTATGTGCTCAGAAGGTTCAGTTGAATAATCACAACAAAAAAGTATAAGTGCGTTTAGGCCACGCTACGGAAGTGAAACCTCATATTTTGGTTTATTCCTTAATCATTCCATATTACTGACCGCCGTATGTTTCGATCTACTGTACATAGCATAACAGAAGATAAAATAACATAACATTGAGCCGAGTGATATTAAATGGATTAAATAACAAAACAAAAAGTCATTTTTATTGCTAATTTGATTCGCTGATCAATTTAGAGATGACATTTACACATTTGTGAATTAAGGTGAATTGAGGAGAGTTCAAGTGATTTGAGGGGAGATGAGATAAAGTAAGTTGAGTTGAGTTGAGTTCAGGTGCATTGAGGAGGGTTGAACTGGGATAAGGTGAGGTAATTTGAGTTAAGGAGAGTTAAAGTGAGGTGACGTGAGGTCAGTGCAGTTGAGGTTAATTGACCCTTTTTAAACGACAATACCCTTTGAGCAGACTTTTTGAAAATTTTGATTTTTTTACCCTTTTCCAAAATTATGTGCGACTTTTGTTCCTTTTCATAGATTTTTGTTTTTAGGAAATGTTAACAGAACCATGCCATTAAAAAATATTTGCTCCTGTAAGTACTAAAAACATTCATCACCTAAAACTTCTCTCCTTGCAGCAACTAGATATATGGGTATGTTTGCAGCTCTCTTTTATGCAAAGCTTCTCCCACTATTTTCTTTTTAAATTCAACAGATTTATTATTTAACTTGTAACGAAAAACCAAAATAATATGGAGACCCTTTTTTCGTCCATCACCCCCTTTTTGCGACTTTCTGAAAATTCTCAACCGCAACACTGATCAGGAGGTTTTCACTGGTGGTAGTTCATGATGTTTGTGTCGTTCCAGCTTGCATTTTTTCCCATAATTATATTTTAAACTTCCTTTCGAAGCTAAGAGTTCTGCAGATATCAAACCGGGTGAATTGGTTTAGGGTTAGGATATCTGGGCACTGAGAGATGATACTACTTTATCTATACCACAACTTTCTTTTAGCGAACGTTTGACTGCCTATGCTCTATGCTGAGGTGCAGAGCCGTGAGCTCAAGAATAACCTACATAGCCATCGTGGGGACACACACACGCGAGAAGTTGCAGTTTCGTAAGGGCGCTGTTACGCAGGCGATCATGTGATCTCTGGTCACCAATTGTTGTTGCTTTCTATAGCGGGTTATAAAATTCTTATAAAATAGTTGGCAGCGCTGCTGGTCATGCAGTTCAGCTCTCTCTTTCGCTCACAAATTTTTCATTGTGCACTGAAAGCAACAACAATTGGTGACCAGAGATCATATGATCGTCTGCGTAACAGCGTCCTAAATTAGTATCTAGATTGAAACTTGAACCACAGGCCACTGCGCCATAAGTTATCATTGGCTTGGCAATCATAGTATACATCAATCTGAATGTGCGAGAGCTGTAGTCCCAACCATTAGTGCTCTTGTGGCTCTGGATGTCATCATACCGACGTGTTTCTTCCATAAGAGTTTTGTGCCGAGCGTGATACCCAAATACTAATCACACTGCCGAGACAGTACCAACCTCTGTGCCATTGATAGTTGTAGTTCTCAATCCGGGTTAGGTTATTCGCCTTGGGCATAGAACGATGGCTGTTTTATTTGGATTTACATTGCGACCCACATACACACACCACTTCTTTGTTATCTTTAGTGTTCTTTGAATTATGTCACAAAGGAAGTTCTAGAATTTTCCTCTTGCTAGTATGACTATGTCATCCGCGTAGGCTTGGCACGGGATTCCATGGCCTGATATCGTTTGCATCTCCGGGCTCCAAAGGAATGGTGATAATACCTCTCTAGTGATTTTTTTTAATTTGTCATATTGTAGAGTCCTGGTCTAGGTATGGTGGATTTACTAGGTATAAAGTGACACTTATTAATAAGTTAGTAGATTGTCTGTGGGCTTTAGTCTTTCACCAAGATGCTCGAGAGATCGTATAGACATCGCTTAATAGGTTCATCCCGCGGCAGTTGGCGCATATGGCAGGGAAACCGTTCTTGTTGATTTGGCAGGGCACAGTTGATTCGTGGAGTCAAGTTTATCTTCTGTACTTTTTCCAATGTCAATCCGCAGAGTGAAAAGAGATAGTCTTCCCACCACTTGTCTTAAAACCTTCTTTAATCACCTAACTTTCTGATAAATCTTTCAGTCGTTTTTCCGCTGGAGAATTTTTTAAGCCTGTCGCACTCACATATATCACATTCTGGCTTTTCTTTCGCGGTTCCTCTTCAGCTTCCTATATCAATTCCTCGTAGCATCGGCGTTTTTAGACGTATCTTTTCTTTCAACTGCGACGTGACATTCCTCGTAGTGCCCATTTTTCTTTCGGGGTCGCTAGATTGAGTCTACGTCTTCGACGGTGGTACATAATGGGCAGAATGAGTGGCTTCACTGCTCGGATATGTCAGTTGGTTGAAGAGTGTTTTCAGAAGCTTTCCTTGTGTTTCTGTACGCACATTTCCCATTGGCGGAATAATTTAGTGGCATCTTAAACCTTTGTTCTGACGGGGGGAGATGAAGATGTCTTCCACCAAGCATAATTTTAATATCTTAGCAGAAGCAGCGCTCGTAAATATTCCCCAAACGCTGCTGAAAACCATTTTTGGCTGCGAAAATCACACCTTCAGTCTAATCGGGGGACACAAAGGAGTGAATTGTTGAAAATCTTATATGAATGCGGATTGTGGACAAATTATCGTCCTCCGGGGTGATCGACACCTCTTGAAAATAGACTATATCGCACATATTTTCACATTGAAGTCAAGGTGGCAAGGTCTCACATTTGTTTGCCTCCATTGCATTTATTGGGTGGCGGTTATGTCAGCCTTAGTCTTCCCTAGGACATCAACCAGCCGTCTGGAGACACATTCTTCATTAAAGGTACATACTGTACAGGTACATGCGCTTAAGTTGTAATCCATTATACGTTAGTCGTGATAGTCTCCGAATGAAGGGGTCTACGTTGGCAGGGGATTTTTACACGGCGGATCGGAAACACAGCGCCCAAAAAAATAACGTTGGCACTCGGAAGACTGTTACCACTGCTGTCGGGAGTGCGGATGTGGCGGGAATTTTTGCAGAGAAGGCTCATTATACTCTTGTACCACGAAACGAAGACAAACGCGGGACAAGATCATCTCGCCAAGACTGGCTTTCTACTCTGGTAACTCCGGAATTCCATTCGCCGCACGCTGCGCCACCAAGAATTAGATCCACCCAGGGCATTGGTCAAACGTTGGTTAATAAAACGTCTATCCTTTGCGCCAGTTTTGATAATGATTGTCTGCTCGTCTATTTCTTATTCGCACTGCTGTTTTGTGGTAGAGTAAGGAGTTTTAGAAGTCGAGAAGGAAGCTTTTAAACCGGGCCCCTAAAACAAATACTGAGGTGGACTGGCAAGGAAGATAATTCGTTCTTCGAAAACGTCTTGGCTCCTAGATACTTTGAATGGAATAGCTAAGCTGTTGAAAATCATTCTCAAATGCCAAACTCCTATTGCTTTCACTCAAGGAGACAAGAAGTGAGGCTGTCAGTTCTTTCGGAGTCTTACTTACTTTTACTTAAATGATGACCACACATTTCCCTGTCACGATTGGATTTTGTGCGCGAAGGAATGGTTTCTTGATAGAACTGTGGCAAATGACGATGCCAAATTGTGATGGCTATTGTACCCAAGGAGGAATTGAGCTTTTGGTAATAAGACTAGTTGATATCATCTTTACATCTGAAATTCTTAATCTAAAAGCTTCAGGCCTCTTAGCATGCTGTCTTTCATGCTGAAATGGCTGAAGAGTTTGTTTGAGTTGCGTATTCAGGTCTCCAAAGGCTTCGCTCACAATGTCAAACAATCTTAAAGTGAGACTCATAGTACATAATAGGAAATATGCTGAGTTTATTTATTATTTTCATTAATAGAGTTCAATTAATATTAGAAAAAAAAACGGTTATAGTTTACACATATTTAATCAAATTCAAAGCTACTTTAGTGATTTTGTTTAATCATAATATTTACGACTATGAACGCTCCGCTCACGATCTCGATCTCGATGTGACGTCTTCGATTTGGTTGTCCTATGAGAACGAGCACTCACATGACTGTGGGAACGCGAGCGCGAACGATATGTCGAACGTTTTGAAGAGGATTTCGAAGAGATTGAAGACTTTGTACTCTCTGAAATTTTCGCTGGTTTCTTAGTAATCCAAAACTTCAAAACAAAACAGAGTTCGGCTTTGAAGGCCTGCCAGGGTGTGGTCTAAAAAGTGGAGGTACATTTTTTTTTTTTTTTCACTTTTTAAATTTAAAGAACAAAACCATTACTTACTTGCTCTTCCACTGCGACAGTTTGTACATTCCACAAGAACTCGCATAGTCCAATTATGAAGGAGACCAACACGCCAGCGCCGAGCACAAGAAAAACGCCACCCAGCTCAATAATAGACAGCTCATCACCATCGACTTCAATATATTTAACACAACTAAAATTATTTCTCGGCGTCCACCAACGGCGTTTGAGATTGAAAAGTTCGCCCTTCTCACTGAGTTGTAGCAGCGAGACGCTCAAATTTGAACGATACTCAGCGCCGAGCGGCACAGCCAAGGCGTAATGCTTCTCGCCAATTTGACCGCCAACTTGCTTCAGATCGCAGCTGCGCTCAATGTTGTATGACATGGAGGTCGTTTCCATGAGAAAAGCATAGCTACCCTCACCTTTGCGCACGCGATCCACACCTTCTTTGTTGCTCGACGTAAAAGCTGATGGCGTGAAGGAAATCATTTGATTCCAGGCTTTCTTATAATCTGTCTCATTTGATTCGGAAAAGAACACCGAAGTGCTGCCACCTGCCAATGTGCCGTATTTAATTTTATTCTGATCGACAAGACTCTCGAGACTATCGAATTCACTCTGTAACTTATTGTTTGTTAGCGAAGCAGCCAAATTGGCGATATAGGCGTTGACCATCATCAATGTAAAGAACCACCACATGCTGCTGAGGATGCGCATTGGGGGACCTCTATTACAGTGGGGACATGCAAAAAATTTAGAGCTTTGCAGATCTACTAACAATTTAATGCATTCACTCACTTGGGAAGTATATCGCAACCTTGCTGCATAATGGAGCCAATCATCAACCAAAATGAGTTAGAATTGTTCCATATATTTTCAAGTTCTTCGGGGTCGGGATCAGCTGGATTGGGATTTGTCCACTCGTGGTGTGAGAATCTGCAGAAATAAGGCAACGGATTGTTATGACGAAATTGAAGCATTGTCAGAAGGAAAGACAGAGAAAGATATATATTTATATAAAAGGATACATGAAAAAAGGAGACACTGCACTGCATCCCCAAAAATCCATTAACAGAACTCCAAATTTTAAAAGCCCAAAGTACACTAAAATAAATTACGAAATTTCGTGAAATTTTACGGCGAAGCTCGAAAATTCCGAAGGTAGGTATTTCCATAAAGGACTCTTGGACAAATCCCGAAAATGCCCAAAAATTTCCAGCGAATTCTTAAAATACTGAATAAGTCTAGAAAAATCACGGAAAATCGCAAAAAATCATAAAAAGTCCCAAATAAGACACCAAAGATCGCGAAAAACTGCGAAAGATACAGATATATGTAAATACCAAGTAACACAGTCAAGAAGAGTGCCAAAAAGAAAACAGAAAAATAAGACAAAATAATATCGAAGCTCGGTAAATATATCCCCTAAACTGCCGAAAAGTCTTTGAAAAAATCTTAATACAACGAACAAATTTTAAAAATTCTTAAGATCTCCGAATAAAATGCAAAACATTTTGAAAATTCTTAAAACTCTCGAGAAGTCCTGAAAATTCTCGAATAAAACACGAAACGCCACGTAATGTGTCAAAACCTACAGGATTAAATTCCAGCAATTCACGATAAATCTTAAAAAGTTTCAGAAATTACGAATTTTCTCGAGAAGTCCTAACTAGTTTAAGACCCGAAACATCCGGGAATAAATGCCAACCAGTGCCGAAAGGCTCCTAGAAACCCTAATAAAAGAAAAAAATGCCTTGCAAAGTCGCAAAAAAACCAGAAAATGTATTCCAAAGAGCCCCGAAAAGAATTTGAACGGATTTTTGATTCACTGATAAAATTTTCAAAAATTTCGGAGAAATCGTCAAAAGTCTCCAATTAAACACGAAATGTCACGAAAACTCTCGAAACATACAGAAATAAATGCTAAGAAGTCCAGAAAAGTTCCTCAAAAAATAGAGCAAAACAAAAAATGTGACGGAAAGTCCCAAATTTACCAAAAATATTTTAAAGTTTGCCGAAAAAATTTTAAAACCCCAAATGCTTTCTGATGTCTGATGAGTCTCAGCTCAGGCACGTCAGAAGGCATATTTTCGAGTACATAATCACGGTCCAGACTTACATCGATCAACCAAAAAACCCGACTACCTACCGACGAGTGATCAACGGAATTCATAGAGCATCGGTATGAATGCCGTGATAAGTGCTCAATATCAATCTATTGCAGATTCTGAGCCACGAGAAACCCGCGCTACTTTTACCCAATTACGGTCAGAATATTGTAGCCGTCTCAACAGCTACTTATCCCGACTCGACATCCGTACACCATCCACCTATCCATAACACCATCCACCTATTCACAGTTCCGTCTTCAGCTACACACCTCTCCATTTGGTCTCAGCTCGTTCAAACAGTTCGATTATTGGGTCTACCATTAGTTGAACTTGACGACAACGATTGATGAACAAACCGACCTAGGCGGGGCTTAGTAGTGCCACCACAACAACAACAACAGTACACCCTCCTATTCCATCCCAAACTGTCCTGCATATATGCGGTGACCATATCCTTCCTCTCTTTTTCTTTCATGAAAACCTCAGTTAAAAAAAAATCCCTTACTCACCGCGCCAACAACACAAACAACAAGGTCATCACCAGTTGGGTTAACATCATATTGTACCACACCTCTTCGGCGAAAGGATCCAAGAAGGCGAAAACATTCTTCGGCGCTGGTGGTCTCTTGTAATACAAAATACTAATACCCAGCTGCATGAAAGGCACTGTAAAATCGACTACCTTACGACGCGCCTGTGTAATCGTTATATCGCATATGCCAATCTGTGCTTGCTGGAACAATGAAATTTTGTCAGTTAATAATTGGCTAATCAATCCGACACAACCCTCCACTACTCACATGATCAATTAACCTGCGTATAATGCCATCCCATTCGCCTGTCTCCGGGTTTGGCTTACCAGTGCGACGCTCAATGAGGAAATCATAATCGAAATCCATTATCTCCGACAGCTTCTGTATCAAATCCACTGCATAGCCTTCATACTTCTCCAAACCACGCAAGTTTTCATGGTCCTCTCTACAAAACAACTAATCGCAATCGATCTGTAATCTTATTTTTGACTATCACGCAACCAACTGGTCACCACTACTCACTTCAACATAAAATATGGTTCCTCGAAGCGTGTTGCCACTATGAAGAGCTTGCGTCCCAAGGAAAAATCTGGTGCTGTTGATGCGCTACTCACTGCCACTTGTATGGAAGTTGGTGGCGAAATGCTGCCATCGGGTTTCCAAATGGCTAAAATTTCATTGGTTGTTGGCTTGTAGATCTCCAAATTGAATTGACTGCGTTCACCGTTTTCGTCGATTTTCATATTTTCTGTTTTGAATGAAGGCTCCACATCGTCTTCGGAGATCTTTTGCAAAATAAATTTGTGTAACATTTAAAATGCATATCGAGAAATTTGAATATGCTAAATATATAGTACGTACCTGTTTCATTTCCCGCACAATTTGACGTCCAACATACCAAGGACGGCCACCACTGCCGCCACTGTAATCAAACTCACAGCGCTTTTGTGGTTCTATGAATGTTCTCATGGAGGTAATTATGTTTCGCGCGGCATTGGTAAATAATACGACCGCATCGTACATCAAAATCGGTAGGAGCTCCTGGTTGTTGAAGATTTCCTGGGAATATTTAGGGAAGTATATGAAGAAACTTTTCTTGTTCAGTGTTTTTAGGTCGTTCAGGACATAGACTACTTTCATCATCAGCATACATCTCCTTTGCTGAGCAGAATGCCAAGATCATAAGCGTACTCAACAGCCCTTCTATCTTTCGAAGTAATAGGAAGCAGTAATCCAGAAGACAATCAACAGATTAGGACAAAGATACTACTTCCAACGTACCTTGATGAAAGTTAGAAGTAGTGTTGTTTCAATACGAGTAACTACGAGCATGATAAAAATATATGAAAAGGCCTTGGCATCACTGGCTGTGAAGATGAACAGCATACATTCAAAGCTTTACATGTGGGAAGGAAATGAAATAACATTGCGGGGACGCTGAGCAGTTGGATAATTGGTACAATACTGGTTAGAATCTTGTATATAGAAAGTTGTATCCTTCCACTCGGAGACAAAGTCGTCTATTGTAAGTACCATCTGTGGGTGAGTGGCAAAAGGGGTCATATTCCCCTAATCGGAATTCCATTACAAATTACAATAAAAAAGGAATAATCAAGGCATTAACCTGCTGAACTACTTGCTAACGAGGAGGTCTTAAATTCCACCATCGCTTTCTCTGTCACACTGGTAATGAATTCCGAGTCCAGCTGTTTGAGTGGATTCAATTGAAGACCTGGGAAACGACACAAAAAGTGGTTCGTACTCATTCTCATCGGATCAGCTTCTTTATCGTTGGAAGATCGATACAAAAGCACAGAGTGCTGTAATGACGCTGGTAGTAACTCTTACTGCAGATCTGTTGTGTTTCAGAAAATATTCCATATTATCTCTATTTAACTGCGGTCTTGAGACCCTACAATCATCTCGTTTGGTACATTAGTCATTGCTGACGGTTAACGGTGGTTGGATGGAGTTGGCTGTCTTTTCTATTGGCATCTCAAAGACAAGACGGGCATTGCCAATAGCTGTCTCGTTTCCCTCTTTAAATATTGCTATGCCCTGAAACCCAGCAAATAATGATGTTGGGGTATCCCAGGGATACAAGGTTGCACGGCGTTTCCGACTTTACTACTTCGGAGCCTATTATTCTTTTTGAACCAGCTTGGCCATCGATGAAAATTCTGGAAAAGTTCCACTTAGCGGAAACCACTTTCACCTCCCATCTTGTTTGGAGGACCGGCCTTCGCCAGACTTAGATGGTACATTTTTGGGACAGATGTATGGAGAATGGATACATTCTCTTTCCCTGAACAAGCTTCTAAGATTCGTAAAGGAGTTTGGTAAGTTTGTAGAGGAGCAATGAATTCCCACCACTTATATATATCCTTCCTCTAAATTCTGTTTCTAGGCCTTAAGTACAATGGGCAATACTGCCTGAGTGCTCGAAAAAAAATTTATTTTCTTCAATCTTTCGGCCACCCACAATTCCATTCCAGCCGACTGGTCAGAACACCGAGCAATTCTTAAAGATAATTTTTATGTTTATTACTAGAAAAGCATTTTTATGTTGTTACTTCCTCTAAAACTCTTGTGGCCTTCATAAAAAATAAAATAGATTTAAAAAGCTTTATGCAGTGAAATTTTCCAACAAAAAATCGATTTATGACGCATTCTATTATTTGAATGAGTGGGGTGCTACCTAATATATTTCCTAAGGTATTTAGAAATTAGCTAAAGTATCGACTTTCTCCTTATCAATTTGACTAAATTAAACTTTACTATCTATATATACTATCTATATGGCAACCAGGCTAAAATATATTTTCTGCAGTAAAACTTCTTAAACCTCTTTAGTTTGTTACCGGTATTGTAATATTTCAATTACTTTATCAATTTGATTAAACTAAATTTTCAATAAGGTGGCAACCCTACACAAATATACTTTCGGCAGTAAATATTCTTAATTGTCTTTAGTTTGATACCCAAATTTCTATGTTTAATTTATCTTATCAATTAAATTAAATTAAAAATTTCAAACAGATGGCAACCTTCCACACAAATATTTTCAGCTATGTATAAGCCTTCTTAATTAAACCGCTTTCGTTTGACAGCCAAATTGCAATATTTACTTTATCTTATTAATTTACTTAAACTGAAATATTCAAACAGATGGCAACTCTCTAATTTTTTTTTCTCCATATATTTTAAGTTAGACCTCTAACTTAAGAGCGGGTAAAAACTAATACGTACATAAGTCTAAAGCCTAATTACTGACTCTCATTGCAACAGAAAACCTTCATCAATACTCACATCAATCGGCCGTATGCGTATCTTCTTTCGTCCATAAGGATTTTCATCCACTAATTTCACACGCACCGAGGTAATATTGGCCTTGTAGTCTGCATTATACATGCTTCTCAGCGGCGAGTTATGTGTGTTCAAGTAAGATAGAAACCAGTACTGGAAATAAGAAAAATTATTTAAGAAAACTTCTTACCGAAAATATGTAAATACATTCACTTATCCACTTTGCCTACTGCCACTCACCCGAAACGAGCCCAATAACTTAAATTCCAATGCAGTTTCCAACAAATTTTGCAACGAGTCCTCATGACAATCTAAGATAATTCTATGTTCATGAAATGTCTCGCTTGCCTCCTTCCAAAGTACGCGCAAATCCTGCACATAATCACCAATGTAGCGTAACTTGAGAAGATCATTATTTAGTGATTGTATATCCATAAGGTCCAATAAGCGGGCAAGACCTGGAAGATGGTAGTAGATATTATATGTATGTATGTATGTATGTATGTATATCCCCCACTATGGGATCACAAAATTTGCACGCACCCTCCTTGGTTTCGTAGACAATCGTAAATTGTTCCCACTGATAGTCCGATTTAATGATACCAAAGTAAGCCTTTGAGATCATCGCTACAGAAGGCGCTACATTGACAGTCATGCGATTATTGAGACGCCATTGTAAGGTGGATTGAATTTTCAAGTCGAATTCCATGTGCGGTATGCCAGTGGCATTGGCTATGACGGCTACAATGTCTGTGGAAATTAAAATAATTTACCTCAATAAATTAGCATGTTATTGTATCGATTGTTTGTGGAAGCTTGAGGGTTTTCACACTTGAGGTATTTTTGTTGTAAGTGTGTAATATGCAGCAGTTAATTTATTTATTTTTCCAAAATGCATTCCAACAAGTTTTTAAATGCATGCATGAACATATTTATATACAACGCCGTGGCATGTCTTATATACATACATGCATACATACTTAAATTATAAAAACCAAATCATTGCAGCAACAATGTTAGCGCATTTTTCGTCGCATTTTATTACACTCACCACTAGACGCCTTTGAACTTGGTCCAAAAATAGCAGCAACGCCATCTGAAATCAATTCACAAGCTGAAATGTTTCAAAGAGACAGTTGAGAAATTTCAGATATAAAAATTAACAATCATTTTTTTTTAGGCTTTTTAAACAAATTTAGTTGGAAATATTAATGTTAATGAAATTTAAAAAAATAAACAAAATTTTTGCCGACTTTTTTAAATTTTTAGTGATTGTGACATAAATTTAGGAACCTAGGGGATAAAGCACTGCGACCTTAACTCTTTCGGAACCAAGGGAAACATATTTCCCAAAAAGTTATTCCACTGATAAGGAAATTGTGTGAGTTTTCCTTAGTTTTATGTTTTCTATTTTTAGAATGTCCCCCATTAATATATTTTTATCACGAAATTTAAAAAAAAATATATATGTACCTGATATAAAAATTCAAAAAAAAAATTGAATCATATTTTTCTGGAAAATTTTAAGTTATTAGAAAAGAAAAAATGACTTTTGCGATAAAAACCTAACTTAAGATTAAAAGATTTTTTTTTTTAGGAACAAAATATGTTTACATAAATTAAAACAAAAATTTGTTTAAGGTTAGGTTAAGTTAGGTAGAACTGGCTGGCTAGTAAGAGCATCATATAGACAGATTTATTTTTTTTGTTCATAGTGTTATCACTAAAAACGACCATTCAAGAATCCAAGAAACCTTCTTAGCAAATTTTAGGATTTTGTGGAACCCTCCCTTTGTTGCTTGCTCGAGGTTAATGAGGAACGCCTCCGTAAAGCAGCTCAGGCACAAATTTGCCAGCGCTGGACAGTCGCACACTATGTGCTTCACCGTTTCTTGATCAATTTCACACTTCCTTCAGTTATAGTAAGCTAACAAATTGTGATCAGTTATGAGACCCACCAGAATTCTACAATCGTTCCTTGTTATCTTAAGTATAAGTTTTGTTAATTTCAGGTCAAGTGACGTGAGCATGGCCCTGGATTCTTTGCTTCCATGCTGTTGTGACCACTTTTTATCAGCCTCTTGGAGCATGCCTAAAGCACATCACTTGTTTGAAGCCTGTAGGGAGATAAGAATTTCTATCGTGACTGCATTATTTAATAGCACTCCTTCTTTTGCTAGAGTATCCACCCTTTCGTTTCTTTCTATGCCCCTTCAATGCCCTTATGCCTAGGTATTTAACCAAGGCAAGTGAATTTTCCTAGCACTTTTAGTTCAATTCGGCATTCTAGGACACTTTTTGAAGTCGTCGTATTTCACGCTATAAATTTTATGGCTGCACGAGCTGCATTTATGTTACTGAGAAACTGCGCTGCTTTCTTTACNTCTTAAAATTTTGCCTTTGTTTAAAATGGTTTGGCGGCAGTTGGCACAGAAGAGACACGACCATGGAAGATAATTGAGCGAAACAATGCTTTTTACACAGTGTGCACAATCGGGTGGTCCAAAAATGCATGTAAAAAAGTACAGTCGGAATTTTTATGCTCTCATCCCCCAGGATCCTTCTCCTACCCTTATTTTTTTATTTTGAAATCAGAAAATATTTAGAGGTCGGTCA